AAAATCACCAGCAATGAATGAGAGTTTCTGTTGCCTCACATTTTTGCCAGCATTTGATGCTGCTGTGTTCTGGATTTCAGCTGTTCTCATCGGTATGTAGTGGTTTCTCGTTGTTTTAATTTGCATTTCCGTGATGCCATATAATGTGGAGGAGTGGAACAGTTTTTAGCATTTCATTTGGATGGACTGACCCATGCTAGTGGAATCAACAATTCCACTCTGAAGAACAGACTTAAGAAAACATCAGCACAGAAGCACCCGGGGACCTGTTCGAGACTATTTACCACAGCGCTGTCCACAACAGCCCCAGGCTAAAAACCAATCCAAATGCCCCTTGAGAGGAGCATGGAAGACAAATTGCTGATAAAGACTCTCTCCTTTGACTAAATTTTAATCAGGCTCCTGTTTGATCAGACCTGACTTCGGACTTCATTCTGTCCTTGTGTAATCCAGTTTGAACGAGAATCCTGCTAAGTCAGTTTAGTGAAAATTTGCAACCCTTTGGCATCGGACCACACTCGATATCTGATCAAATTCCTCAATCCCTGACCCTGGCCTGCCTAAAGGCAAGAACCCTGTTAGGTCAGTTTAGCCAGAATCCTCCCTTCCCCTCGTGTTTGCTCACAGTAGTTTTCTATCCACTGACCCCTACCCTGCTCCTGCTCCTTGGCTATGAATTCCCGCTTGTCCTTATTGTTTTCAGAGTGGAGCCTGGTCTCTCCCCAACTGCAACACCCTATTGTAGGAGTCCCCTTTAACAGAGCCTTGCCTATCATTTTTAATGGTGTCATAAATAATTTGTTAACATTCTGTTTGTTCACTTAATGAACTATTGTTATAGGCCATGACAATGAATGGGTCACAATTACATACATCAACAGGGATGAGTCTAGTTAATCCAAAAAAGCAAGTCCTGGACAACAAAATGCAGTATAGCATGTTTTAGTAAAGTTAAAAAAATAATTACAGTAATAAGAAAAATAATGTTTAGGCATATATATACACATATATACCTAACATGTGTGTGTGTGTGTTCACAAAACAATTTAAGGAAGTGGTAAACCTTAATAACCAGAACGGTGGTTTTATATGAAGGGGAGGAAAAAGATGGGCTGGATAAGGAGCACATATGGAGATGTAGGGGCCTTGGGTTGGATTGTAGGTTTGTGGGTGTTTATTATATTATGAGTCATTATAAAAATAAATAAGGGCCATGCATGGGTTAATGATGACAGTGTGTAATGAACCCAGGACTATCATTAATCCAATTATCAGCATTCAATGTATTAAATTGGAAGGAAAAGAAGGAAGGAAGGAAGGAAGGAAGGAAGGAAAATTCCAGTGGACTCAGCCTTTCTTCTTTCCTTATAACCCTTATCTTTCCTTCCTTCTGCTCATCTTCAGTCATTTATTCCATAAATGTTTCGTAGATGTCTACTGTGTGCCTGGCTCGAGGTTAGGTGTCACCCAAAGCACTGGGATGAATCAGACACAAGCCTGTTTCAACCGAGTCACTGGCTGCTGCAGGAGTGGGGCAATCCCCAAAGGCACTGCAGAGCATTGTGACAGAGGTGAGGCAGCACAGCTCTGCAGAGCTCAGCGGGGGAGCCCCTTACCTACCCAGGGCTACTTGAGAAGACTGGAGAGCTTTGTACTTCTAAGAAATTAGTAACATGAAAATGTAAGTGGGAGTGCAAAGGGTATACTGATGAATAAGACAGCTCTACCTAGAAATGCTTACATCTTGGGAGCAAGGGGTGGCAGAAAAAGAGGCAATAGCAACAGCGGGACTGGACCCCTGGGAGAGGGAAGCACACTGAGCCTGGGGTGTCAGGAGGCTTCCTGGGGCAGATCACATGCACACGGGCAGAGCACTGGAGGGTGAATCAGAGTTCCCTGGGGAATCTGTACCAAGCAGAAAGGTCAGTGTGTGCAAATGCCTGTGGCAGTGAGAAAGAGCTTGGCTCACCAGAGTTGTGTAGAGGGTTTCAATGTGACCTCACCCAGTGAATAGATGTGGGGAGTGAGACCAGTACGCAGGAGCCAGATTCAGCTAAGAAGTGGGAAGACCATCCTGTGGGCCATGGGGTACCTTTGAAGGGAGTTGCAGGGGAGATTTTACTTTATGAAGACAGCTCTGTCGGTAAGGCAGAGGGGAGGAAGCTGCTGAAGCTGTTGGGGAAAGACATGGTGGTGCCTGCGTTGTTAAGAGGAACAAGATCAGAGAGATGAGCACCTTATGGGCAACATCACACTGTAGGTTGAGCTCAAAAGAAGAAAGGGAGGGAGGGCAGAGACATGCAGACCTCACACACTGCCATTCTCCTCTGTGGCATGCACATCCTCAAAGCAGTTTCAATCTCAAAAATTCATTCATTCATTCATTCTCAGAATTGAGGATTTTTCCCTTGACTTCTGTTAAACCACAGTTGATCCTTTTGGAAGACAGAGAGGGAGACTGAGGTTGCAATACCTAAAGCCTGCTAAGTAGATTATACACTATGCCTGTTGGGAGAAGCAAGCAGTGGTGGGGTGCACAGCTTTGCAATATGCATAGCAGTTCTCCACCCCTCACTGCATGGCCCACAGTGGACCTCCTGCTCCAGGCATGACTTTGCCTCAGCTCCAGAATTCCAAGGGCACTGCAGATCTTCACAAGAAGAAAAACATTTATTGAGCACCTACTAGGTAACACTACAACAGATAACCAAACTCAGGAATGCTCAAACAGAAGCCACAGTTTTCAATAACCTAATCTTGGAAGGGACATCCTATCACTTCCAGGGTGTTCTGTTGGTGAGTCAAGCAAATCAACAAGTCCAGCCCACACCTAAGGGGAGGGGCTAAACCAGAGTGTGAAACCAAGAGTTGGGGATCACTGGGAGCCCTTTTAGAGGCTACTCACCTTAATCTGCAGAGTTTTCATAGACAGGATATCCTGGCTTCTCCCCAAATGGCAAGTTCTTTCCCCTGATACCCAGGGACTGGTGTACTTGGGGCCTGCAGGGCCACTTGAGGTACTGTTGTGGACACTCCATTGTGCCTCCATTGAGGCAATGTCACTTGGAGGGGCCAGTGTGGCGACCTATGTGGAGCCCCCAAGAGAGGGAGAAGGTAGTTTCTCGAACTGTGGCCATTACTCCCACTCCATCTGGTGCCTGAAGCTGCTGTAATGTTTTCTGGGGAGGAGCGGAAGCCATGAGCATACCCTCATCCACCTCATCAGCCGGACTGGGTTGGGTCCAGGAAGGGAAACTATTATCTTGACAGTCTTCTTTAAACTCCTCTTTGCTTCTGATCTTCTTCCCTCAGATTTTCTTTCCTTGCTCCCCAATCACGTCCATTGACCCCACAGTAGCTTGTTGGGTGGTGCTCCAGGAGCTCAGTGAGAGGAGTGAGGAAAGACTGCTGTGGAGATCCCTGGAAAGAGAGTAAGTGTGAGGGAGGTCTGAACTGCCCCCCAGGGCAGTTCAACTACATTTGCTTAACATCTGTTCTCGGCTGGGTACGGGGATCCAGAGATGTATAAAGTACAGATACTTGCCCTCCTGGGGGTTCACAGTATTAGGAAGGAGCCAGATGTACAAATGCAATGACAAAACAGTAGAATAATTGCAAAAGATACTTGATCAAAACACTCTTTTTTCACCCCACCACAATTGCCCCAATTCTTGAGGCATCATCATCTTTGCTTGGGCTATCAGTAGTTTCCAAGCTGGCTTCCTCCATCCATCCACTCTGATGCTGAGAGATCTTTCTAGAATGTAAATCTGATAATGCCACTATTTTGGTTAAAGACTTCCCCAAATGATCTTGGAAAAAAGCTAAACTCTTGGGGTGACCATCAAACCCCTAGCCACTGTCTACACCTCCAGTTTCATCTCACCACCTTCTGCTTGAGTGCTGTGGTAGGTGACCCAAGTGACCACCCTGTCCCCCTGTCTCAGGAGCTGATTTCTGTAGCCACCTCCACTAGGAAGCATTCCCAGATTGCCCTTCCCAGTCTGGGAAAGGAGCCCCACAGCCTCCATCAAAGTATTTCCCTCAGCGAGTTGGATTGTCTTTACTTGTCTGTGTCCAGGATGAAATGGGAGCTCTGTATCTAGGCTTTTTGGTGCTTGGCCCAGAGAGGGCTGGCGGTGATAGAGGTGGGGCGGGGGAATCAGACCAACTGACTGTGGAATGGAACTGAAAGTCTAGGAGCACAGACAAGGGCCTCCAGAATAGGAACTTTCAACTTCCCCAGGGAAGCACGGACGCTAGAAGCCCCCTTTTGGCCTCCACTCGGGCCACGCCTTCTTCCTTATCTCTCAGCTCCAACTCGCAAAGCAAGCAGCGGCTCACCACGGGCGCTGGTAACTAGCACCGAAGAGACCCGTTTCCCTTCACTTCGGGTGGGCCAGAAGGCCCTGTGAAGCAAGTGCAGTGTGAAATTGGACTTCAAGAGATTAGCTGGAGCTTGATCTTTAAAAATAAAGTGTGGATATGAGTCTAAGTAAGAGGATATTAAACCATCCTCTTTTCCCCGCTACTATTTCGCACGTGCTTTGAGTAAAGACACCAAAGCTTCGGAACGGCTTTGGGCGTCTCCTCCCTCCTCAGGGATACCCACTCTGGTGTTCCAGGTGCACTTGAATGAATGGGGGAGGACCCGCGCTCATGAATGAGTGCGTGAGTGAGGGAGCAGGGGAGCGGGAGGGTGAATGGCGACCGCGCCACCGACTCTGCAAAGGGGAGCAGGCGCGGGCTCCACTTCCCTCTCTCGCCAGCTGGTGGCCTCGGGAAGGTGGCGGCGCCAGCGGCGGCCGGAGCTGCTGGGACGGGCCGGGACGGGGCGCGGGATGGTGGGGGAAGGGGCGTTCCCGGCGGCCGCGCCTTCCGCGGCTATTGGATTAGTGGCCTTCAGGGATGAGCTCAGCCGGATCGGCTTTCAGCTGCAGCCTCCGGGCAGCCCGGGAAGGCGGGGAGCGGGCGGCAGAGGAGGGGGAGGTGGTGGCGGCTGCAGCATCCAGTGCTGGCCGCGGCGGCCGGCGCTCCCCATGCACAAAGGCGCCCAACCCCTGGGGAGGGCGATGAGCGCACCGCAGCCCCGGCCCGAGCCCCAGCTCCAGCCACCGCTGCCTGCGCTAATGGCGCAGGGGAAGACACAGGGCGTGCCAAGGGTCGGCGGCCGAGGCGCGGCCCGCGAGCCCTGAGCTCGGGACTAGCTGCCCTCGGTGTGAGTGGAGCCTCGAAGCGGCTACAGCAAGGGCCTCTGCGCGTCCCGGGGATCCGCGCAGGAGGGTGTTTCCCCACTCCTACCCAACCTCTCGCACCTTCCCGCTGCTCCCAAGCGCCAACTTCCCCAAGAACGCTCCAACTCCAGGCCACCCTGCCGGGCAGAGGGGGCGCTGCTGCTGGGCACCAGCCGTGAGGACGAACCCCCTGGCTTCAGGCAGCGAGCCTGCATCTTCTGGGTAGATCGGGCGCCCCTGAGTGGGCGGAGGCGGCAGACGCCTCTCCCCAGAGTCCAGGACTTGCCAGTGCTGGAGATTCCTCCTGGGCAGGCGCTCGCCCTTTCTTTTATGGTGAGTATACTCTAGCTTCTGGTGAGGGGCGCCCTGAGGCGCGCGGGAGCCAGGAGCTGAGATCTGGCTGTGCGGACACTGTGCGGGCCGGCACAAGCCACTGCTGCCGCTCGTGGCTCGGGTCCCGTCCGGGTCCCTGGGCATTCCTCTCTGCCGGCTGTAGCAGTTGGAGCTGGGTGGTTTGCGCGCAGCTTTGGGGACGTTTGGGACCGGCCCATGGAACCTTAGGTTCGAAGCCTGCTACTTCTCTTAGTAGTGGAGACGACACACAAAAAAATTGCTCTCTCCTCGACCCCCACCCCCCACCGTCACCCTGCCTGAGTTTGGGTCCAAGATCCTTCGTTCCCTGGTTGGGTGGTGACCTTGGGCAAGTCGCCAAACCTCGATTTCCTCACTGTAGGAGGGGATGATACTGGTACCGGCTCTTAGGGGTATTGGCAGGATGTATGCTTGTAGCGTGTGTAGACCTGTGCCTGGCACGTAGGAGCACTCAATCAAGTGTTAACTAGCATTGTCATTAGTGGTGTGAGCCCAAGCGTGCCGTCCAACTTTCTGGAGCTGAAGCATCTCCCTTGTCTATGTAATGGGGACCGTAAGTTGTGGGGGCCTGTTCATCGGGGTTGGGGGATTCGGAGCGGTGGAAGTTAAGCGCCAGTGCTCACGCAGTAGGCGCTGGTGAAGTGGTGGCTGTCACTGCCCCCCCCCCTTTTTTTTATTGACGCTGGGTGATTGGGATAGTGTGCCCTATTCCCGGCCAGTTCCTGGCTTTGCTTGGAGACAAACTTGGCTATGCTCAGGATGGGAGGGGGTCGCGGGCTCCTGGAGCCAAGGGCAGGGGATTGGGGGTTGGGGTCTGGGAAGGAGGGAGGAGGCCAGAGACTGGAGCGCAGCAAACCTGTCGGTCCGGGTAGCACAGAACGCACCACGGGCTCCAAGCCAGAAGGGAACGTAGGGCCCAGAACCTGTCCCTAGCGGGAGAAGCCGGGGCGGGGCGTCGGGGAGCGGGGCGGCAGCTCCCACCTCCGGGCTGTCGGAGCTTGGATCAAGCACTGCTGCAGACTGGAAGAGGAGGGCGCTTCTGTGCCGCCTTCACGAGGAGGTGAAGGGCTCTCAGCTCCGGAGTCAGGCTTGAGTTCAAATTCTGTCTCCACCACCCGCCCGCGGTGTGACCTTGGACAAGTACTCTGATCTCTCCCAGCTCATTTTCCTCATTTTTCCCCATCCCCCTCCTGGGGAAGGCTGGGAGGGAGTTGATGAAAGTAGGAATTCTCTCGTCTCTAGGAATCTTTGCCCCCATCATCCCCACACGCCGCCCCCACTTCTCAATCTGATGAGCCTAAATCAGAAACACTTGACATGTTATGCCTAAACCTGGAATAAACACTATTAAAGGGAGAATGCAGTATCTGCTCACCCTTCCCTGCTGGTCTCGGCACCCAGCACCCGGCACCCGGCACCCTCGAAAGAGGAGATCAGGGCACTAGATTTTCGCACCTTTGGTGCCTCTACCCTCCAAACAAATCCTGCAGCTTGTCACTCAGGCTGATGAGGAATCCCTCCTCCCCTCCAAATCCTTCATTTATTTTAAGTCCTGCTGATTAGTAGAGTTCTTAGACAAAGTGTCAGTGGCATGGTACAAACATGCTTTCCACAAGAGCATAGCCCTCTGATTGATTCCTTTTTTTTAAACTTCTTTAAAAAGTGGTAATAAATGACATTTAAGCTACCTTTGGCAAACAACAAACAAAATTCAACTTGCAGGTCATTCCACTCCAATATCTCTCCAGTTTGTGTTTCTGTTTTATTTTGAAGACGGATGCAGGAGGATGGAGGGCTGCTGTGGAGGCTGCCCAGCCCACTTGGGTCTGGGACAAGGATCAATGAGTGTCAGCCAGGCAAGGGGAGGTGGGAGGGCTCCCAGGACGTCAAGGTATGTGGTGCCCAGGGAGTCTGGTGTGACTGGTCTGCAGGGGGCCATGCTGGGAGATTGGGCATGGGAGAAATAAACCAGAGCAGGTTTTTGGGACTCTTCTGTGCTAAGCTAAGTGGTGCAACTTCTCCCTGGAGAAACCACCTAGAGAGTTGAAAGAGAAGATTGGTGGGCAGGTTGGTTGGATTTACCCCTTAGTGGTGGGGAAGGTGGGTTGAGAACTGTAGACTGGGACCCCGGGGCCTTGTGAGAAGACCATTGCGGTTATCCAGGCAAGGGAAGTTGAAGATATTGAGTGAGGGAGACTGAGAGATGGGGGATCCATGGCAGAAACAGGGGTGTGCAGAGAGGAACCTGGCCTGCCACAGAGGGAAGAGGCTGAGGGTCAGCCCTGGGTGTGTGGATTCTGAGGTGCCAGTGGGTGCCTCCAACTCTGACATCAGGAGAGGATGGGTGTGCCTACAGGGGGAGGCTTGTGGCAGAAAGAAGCCAGCTGGCTTTACAAGGTCATTTGAAGGAGCCCTAGTCTGGAGTGGCCAGAGGCTTCTAGGTAGGTGGTTTGGTGCTGAGGAGAGAAGTCAGGGCTAGAGATCAAGTTCAGGAGAATCTGCAAGGGCTGGAAATGCCAGTCTTAAGAGAAGACACATGGAAAGAGAGAGCTCTGAGCAGAGACTGAAGATGTGACCTAAAAGTCATCCCACTTGTGGGACAGGCAAGGTGGGCTCTGCAGCCAGAAGGCAACAGGAAACTGCTGTGAGCCCTACATTTTCATGTGCTGGTGTGTCTGGAGAAAGAGAGCTGCTCCAAAGTCACACACCTGACTCTGCTTTCTCCAGGAAAAAGTGAGGCTTAATCCACTTAGCTGGGCCTACAGAGACATCTCACCTGTCAGCCACACACTGTGAGATATGCAAGACACACAGATTCCTGGGGCCTAGTGGTTCCTTCCCACCTGGCGCTGCCTCCCTCTGGGTCTCCCTGTCTCCCCACTTCCTCACCATCCTCTCTTCCACTCTAGTTTTCCCCCCAGAGTCTCAAAAATGATCCCAGAGACCCTACAGGCTTAACTGAGGAACCTTCAGAAATCCCAGCAGGTTCCCATTATGATATCCTAGATCAAGTCTGAGGCTGAATAGGTTCACTTTTCTTTCAGGCATCCCAGGTTTTCAGACAACCAGTTATACCAACTGGACAAAGTTCAGCTTGGGAGATGAATTTGTTTTCTTCATAGGGTCTTCCCAAGAGGATCCCATTATGCATCACCCCCAGACCCCCCCCCCCGCCCCCACCATCCCCTTACCTCCAGCTTTGCTCCAGCTCGACCCATGCTGGGCCTCACAGAGGCCAGCTATCCTGTACATGTGCCTGGGACAGCCCTCTGGGCACAGGGGCAGCTGCGGCATTGACCAGGCCTGCCAGGAAGGTGTGTCTCTTTCAAATGACCTTGCAGAGCACACTGGCCAGCAAACCTCCTTCATCCCATCCCCTGCTCTTGTTGGCTGACAGCCTGAGCTTCTGCCTTGGGGGCTTCTGGCTCAGTCAGGCGTGGGAGGATTCCCATGGAAACCCCAGAAGGAGGAGGGGCTGGGGAAGCCTCACTGATTCACGCTCCAGAAAGACGGGCGGGCGACGATTTCACCTGGAACTGGACAGATGGCTCTCTCTGTAAGCTCTCTTGGGAAGAAAGGGTTTGCTGGCCAATTGCAGTGTGAGCTCTGTGCCTGTGTATAAAGGGGAAAAGCTAACAGACGCCTATGAATAAAACCCAGGGCATTCTTTAGTTCATTCATCATTGGCAGGTGCATTCTGAATGAGCATCTTTTTAAAAAAGCAAGCCCTCTACTTAATATTCATACTAAGAAAATCTTTAAATATCCCAGTTGAACCAGTCCACGTAGGTCTCATTGTCTCTGTACAAATAAATGTAAAGGATGAAAAGTGAAGAATGAGGACCCAGCTCCCGATGGAGTGCTTTCTAAGGCAGCAGCTTGCTGTATTCATTTGTCTGTGCTTGTGCAGTGGGTAATCATTCATCCACCACTTCCTCTGAACCAGAGCCTTGCAGAGTCCTAGGGACTCCAGTGAAGAGACCCAGCCTTGCTCTTGTCCCTCAGCTGGTGGGAAGGAGACAGCTAAGAAGACGTCATGGCCCCTTGCAATGTCTGTGGTGGGGACAGTACAGGAGCTCTGAGAGCAGAGGAAGGGGTCGGGAGTCCCAGATTTGTATTTGTGGGGTTTGCAGGAGAGAGAAGGGACCGAGGCGGCAGCCTGTCAGCACAGGGATGTGGGGGCCTGTGTATGGCTGTAGGGAAATTCAGGCAGGTCGGTGGAGAGACAGTGAAGGGGTTCATGGATGACGATGGGCCAGGAAGCATAGGGAAGCATTTTGAGAGTGTTTAAGGTTAGGAGTCTGCACTTGATCCTGAAAGCTACGGAAAGGCTGTGGAGGAGCTTAGGCAGGGAGCGTGATTAGACCGGCTTCGAGTTTGACAAGTGCTGTAGTATGTATTTGAAAGCAGTATGCAGTCCATTAAAGGAATTCAAGTGCCTTCAGACTGCACTGCTTTTTACAGTCCTTGTCATTATTCAGACCTGTAACTGGGTCTGACCCCTTTGGTACCAGCTCTCCCTAGAGGGAAGTGATAGGGTCCTTGACTTTGCTGTAGCCTCCTATCCCAGAGAGGAATCGTTCTGTTGCTTAAAAGAGAGAATGAAATTCACACCCACCCACGACCCCAGCAAGTCTGAAGCCAAAGACGGCACTGAGGGGAGGGCATTTCACCCCATCTTTACCAGTTCCTGCAGCAGCCATGTCGCCTGGCAAACCCCCTGCCTGGGCGAGCCCAGCAGACAGGCCTCCAAGAATGGAATTTCGAGTCCTGGGCCTCTGAAGACCGAGTGTCCCAGTTTGCAAACCGCTGAGGCTCCTTAACCGGTACATCAACGCTTTTCATGGCTGCTCATTTCTGTGTTGAATTGCAACACTTGCCAGGGTCCTGAGAAGGGCAGTTGGCAATCTGAATTTTTGTTTTCTTGCTCTGCCATCATTGAAGTCCAAGTATGACCTAAG